CAATGTGTAGGCCTACATTACCCAAAGTCAGGAAACAGAAAGTACCGAAACCAAACCGGAACTTCCTTTTTGGAGTTCATTAACACGTTTCACAGGCACAAAAGCCATCCAAAAATACAATAAGTAGCAACTGAACACGCATGTGACTTTTTGCCAATGCACACGACATTTGCATTCAATTTGTTAAATAGATAAATGAAAGATACAATGCAAAGCACTGTGCAGCACAAGGCGACACTGAGATAACGATTGTGAAAATCCGAGCACTTCACTTTTTATCAAAAATATGAGCACTGAACTTTGAGACACATTTACAATCATAGAGGTCTGTTATCATGGTTATCAGTATGACAGAACAACTCCTACATGTACTTGTGCATGAACATGTACATGTACATGTGTATCGATCCAACCACACACACATACAGCCTGGTACGTAGGCCTACGTTGTTCATACACAAATCTGATCAGTTGATTGAATTGTAAATGTATGTGGGATTTAGTATTGCATAAAAAAGTCCTTTTTTTTCAACAATTGATGGCTCAAACTACAGCAAAAACTGTCACTAATGACAGATAGCCTGTCAATGCCAAGATTCTGGGATTGGCAAAAAAATAATCTAAAGTGAATGGTAAATGTGGAAAGAGTGCTGGCACGTTGCCATACGCACTTGAGGTCTTAAAATGAGGTCTATTGTCACAACACCAAAAAGATGAGCTTTACACTGAAATTCCTATTCGTACACGTATTCTGCTTTTCACACTGCAATTAAGTGCTCAAAGGAAGCAGCACAACCAGGGGTGAAGTCCTCTCCACCATCATAGAATCCCCCCCCCCCAAAAAAAGTGAAAAACAAAAAAGGAAAGAAGTTTTTGGCAATTACAGTTCCACATTTGTTAACATTTTCAGGAAACTGAAATGCCAGCACCTCATAGCCGCTACTTCTTGTGTTAATTCTCTCTCCCACGCACGTCGCTGAAATAGCGTCACAATACACATACATGTACCCTGCTATTGTGTCCTTACCGTCAATTCGACAGCACCACGAATAGTCAGATTGAGCCCCCCCCCCCCCCCCCCCCCCCCCCCCCCCCATTTTTGAAAACTTACCCAGTTTGCCCCCATGGACCCAAAACCTGGATACGCTCCTGTGTCCCACTTCTCCCCCCTCCCCCTTCTTCAGGCCCGTTGCCAGCCCTGAGCATCAGGGGGCCATAGTTCCAACTAGGGGGGCTTACTACCATAAAAATACAAAAATACACATGTATGGCTTTTGCCGTTAGGGGGGGGGGGGCTAATTGCTCGCCAAGGGACCAGCCCCCCCCCCCCCCCCCCTTGGTGATGGGCCTACCCTTCTTGCTTTTCAAATTTACCATGACCTGTAAAAAATACTGTAAAGCCCTCCCACCTCCCTTTCAAATCCTTTTTATAGTGTTTTACTGCTCAAAGATGATAACCTCCACTGTTAAAGAAGACAACGTCCCTACCAGTGGCGTACGCAGGATTTTTTCAAGGGGGGTGTTTCAAAATTGGATGTCATCATTTATGACCGTAATGAAGATGGTAAATTGTGTTGGCGCCCGAAATAAAAATAGTATCAGTGGGCTAAACCTAACGCTAAAATAAAAGTCGGGAGTTTGTGTTGCCGCCAAACATAGTAAATCGAAAAAAACAAAACATGTTCTGTGTCTTATGATGAACATATGAGTAAAGGGGTCAATGTGGGCAGTCCCCTCCCTCAACAAACAGCATTTAAACAAAAAAAAGAAGAAATTCAAGAAAAAAAGTGACACAGGCTGCGGAAGTGCTAGGATCTGTTCTTGTAATTGGCTAAATTTACTCAGCTTCGTCCCCTGGATCTCATGATTCTCATCCGTTGGGAATCTAATTCTTTGTGTAAACCGCCCCCACCCCTAAGGCCAAACTCCAGATACAGGATACATACGCGCTCTGGTCACAGGGGCGGATTCAGACTGCCATTTGCCGGGGGGGGGGCCTAGAATTGTAGTGAAGGGTCCAGGACCTGCGAGCGCGCAGCGCGAAGCCCCTACGGCGTGGGGTCCGGGGCCCGCTTAAGGGCCCCGGGAAAAAAATGGATTTTATATGCTCTGTGGTGCAATCTGAGGCGATTCCTGGCCACTTCCACCGTTTAGAAAACGTTTTAAACATCGAAAATTCCATTAAAATTTGTTATTTTTTTTTGTTCTTCATTAAGTTTGTTATGTACTCAAAGTTGAGAACCATGTTCCATCTCCGTATTTTTTCACAATTTTCTATTTTGGAAAGGGATTTAGGCCCCTTGTAGTCCGAGCCTCAGCCATTCGCTGAATGAGGTACAAATAAGGTGGGGGCACCGCTAGGGTGAAATTAGCATAGAGGGAATTTGGCCGGAGGACTAATGCGAGCGCGGAGCGCGAAGCACTTACGGCGTGGGGTCCGGGGCCCGCTTAACCCTAAAGGGGCCGGGTTATTTTGACCATTTCTCAGCCGGGGGGGGGGGGGGGGGGGGGATTCCGCCCCCCTAAGATCTCGGCCATCGAGTGACGAAATTTTTTGAAACTCGGCACATGCATAGAGCAACTCTTCCTTAACATACCCAAGAAATTTCATGACTATAGGCCAAAGGGTTTTGGAATTATGGCTAATTAATTATTCATATGTACGAATGGCAATTCTGCTCTGTGTACACGACGTTTATGCGAAAATTCAGTTTTCACGGCGCGTAGCGCCGGAAATTTTTTTCGCTACGCGGCAACCCGTGGTCCGATTTGGTAATGCAATGCATTTGGTATCAAAAGATGCGCAAAGCTCGAGGCTAAAAAGTCATAACAGCTCGGGTCGCGAATTTTTTTTTTAGAGGCTATCACGGAAAATGTTGGGGGGGGGCGGGCGGATTCCGCGGATTCCGCCCCCCGGCCCCTTTAGGGTTAAGGGCCCCGGGAAATTTTGGATCGTAGATGCTCTGTGGTGCAATCTGAGGCGTTTCCTGGCCACTTTTCCCCTGATTTTTTTAGCAGAAGTTTTTAAAATTGAGGGGATATTTTGTTTCATTTGTTTCAAATACATATAGGCCTATGTATTCTTGCTCTTATAAAGTGTCTTCTGTATTCAAAGCTTAAAGTTGAGAACATGCACATAATTTGTAATTGTTCCGCGCTCGGTCACATAACTCTCTTTTCCCTCCATATTTTTACATGGCAAAGGGGGGTGTTTAACAGCCAAAACACCCCCCCTGCGTACGCGCCTGGTCCCTACATAAATGCCAACTGAATCCTACCTCCAAACTGTAACTGAACATGAAAACTGTACATTGCTTCACTTTTCTCCCGAGATGTTGTGGAAGATGCTGGAACTGGGTCAAGTTACATCAATATCACTGCTTTTGCAATGCACAGGCACACACACAGGCTCTTGAGCTACGTCAACAGCATCAGGCTGAAGACATCAAAGAAGCAACATACGTCATGCACATCTTCCGCTCTCCTGGCCAACTCAAGCCATGTTCATCTATATTTTTTTCATGAGGGCATGTTAAGGTTAGTCTATATGTGAGCAGATTCACTGATTAATTATGCAAGACAACCGTCTCTTGACCTCTAGATTTTGACCAATCAGCGGGCGCTTTCTATATTGTGTCATAGACATGGACAAAAAAAAACAAGACACAGCAAACAAAGGCTGTGATTACGCGCTATTATGTTATGCGATTAGCGCCAAGCTTGTCTAGGTTTTTATAGATCTAGGCCCAGCAATTTCATTATTAGAGGAGGTTCCCCCCCCCTCCCTGATCCAAAGGTGGCAGACTGATGACAACAGCTTATTTTCTTACAAATATTTCTGGGAAGTTTAACACTGCCAGACAGAAATCTTACAACTAAGAAAGAAAAGGAACTACACCTCTGGCTGCTGAGATTAACCAATACACGAAAGGAAAATATAAATACATGCAGTTCTACAAACATGATTGCTTTCATGGTTAGGAAACCATGGTTACTGTTTAAGTGCACACATCCCCACTGCCAAATCATGAGTCTGCATCTTTGAAGTTTGGCAAATACGTAACATTTACACTACATTTACTCTTTCAATTTGCATTTTGATTCTTGATTTGAATATTCATATCAATTTACAATGACGTCCCTATAGTTCGTTTTTGAATCTATTGCCAAACTGTTGATAAAAACTGAATGAAAAAAATTGAATTACTACAATTATGGCTGTAGTACATGAAAGATGTTAACAACAGAATGAGGAACAAATAATTAAAACATAGTTTGTTAACTTAGTAGTTGGACACGTAGCTAAAACGTACATGTGTAAGTATCCTTGAAACCTTTTAGAGTGCAAAAGGACCCCCCAAAACCAGACTCCACGGAAAGAATTCCATACTTGGCCACCACTCAGACCTCCTGCACAAAGTCTATGGGCCATGGCAGAAAAAGTTACGAGTATTTAAAAGAATTGTTGCACTCCTTTTAGTGTTTCTTCATCAGATTTACAACTTTTGGTACTTTTCAGGTCATACTAAGGAATATTATGAGTGGTGGCTCAGTATGGAATTCTTCCCATGAAGGGTCCAAAAAGGTTAGCCGATGAAAAGGCACGGCCCACATACATCAATCGTAAAATGTTGAACTTGTCCTTCTAACCATTCACGTGTGTAACGTAGTGCTCACTACCATCAAGTACCATGTATTTATTCCCTGCGGATCATAGTCATACAAGCACTAATGGGTTAAGGATATACTTTTTACATCCACTCCCCATCCCACCTCAAATATACCTCCTTCAGGTTCGGTCCACATAATGTACATTATCGGACACCACATTATCATGATGTACAATATGCATGGGCAGTGAACACAAACTGATGAGAACCTATACACGCACTGCGAGGGCGCGCGTAGCGTAGAGCTGTTTACTGCGAGTGTGTACTACTGTGCCGGTATTTATACATTTTGTCGTAGCCAACAACACTGGCCCTGCAGTCTTCACAAACCTTCCAAGTTCTTTGCCGATCTTGTAAGCCTCTTCGAATGTCTCCACCTTCTTGGAGTCCTGGATCCACGCGGTGTTGTCGACGGGCCGTGAGCTGGCCATGGTGGAGTGGGCGAGTCGGCTACCGCCGTCCGGAGTCGCACGGGTGGAATTTGCTGGCATCTCCTGCCGGGAACTAGTACTAAATAATCGCCCTGGCAAATCTCCTGTATCGGACTCAAACTTTGGACGATCACTTCGGTTGCACGGAGTAGACTAGGCACAGGCAATTTATAGGCCTCGAAAATGTTTGCACTTGGTCTCTGACCCCGTTCATCAGTGATAAAACGTAAACAGTACTTTACATACATGCAATCATCACAACACGTTGATCCACCGGTTTGTTGTCAAGTCCGATTCCGCTTTCATTTCCAATTCGGTGTGCTCCGTAACGAGGTGGTGACGTCACGACCACCTGCTAAATGTAACTGAGCGTGCGCAGTCTTTCGCTTTCAGCGAAACTAATATGAGGGCGCTGTTTACGTTCCACGGTTGCGCTCGCAAATGGAAGAAAAAATTCTTTGAAGTTCACAAAATTGTATGTGACAAATTCAAACTTATAATAAAAGCAGCGAATTTCTAAGAACATGAATACATTCCGTTGGTTAATTAATTAATTTATTAATATAACCTTTGGTGAAACGATGAACCGCGGACCATCAATCGGATCATGAAATTTAGGCACAAATTAGGCGACATAAATATGAAAGTTGGTTGGAGTCCAAAAACACGAGGTCGTACGTCACAGACTGTTTATGCATATTCATGATTTGCGCGGGCGCGCCTGCATATTGCATACATTACAGCGCGGCCGCCATTTTGAAATCGCATGGGGGATCGCATGGGGGACGATATTTGTGGAATCTGATGACTGAAATTCGTCTTGTGGCCAGATGGATGAAAATATTGAGACCAAACAACGTTTTTTCGAAAAGGTATGAGTTGCTCTACGACTACGAACCTTAACTTTGGAAATTTGTGCCCTGGATGAAAAGATAATTGCGATCGAAAGATGTAGCAAAATCGCTACATCGGCGGCCAAAAAAATTCAGTCTTTTTGGAAGCATTCAGCGTCTGGCCGTACTACAGAGCTTGCGATAGTACTGTACGGCCAGACGCAGTCGGGCTAGGTTGCGGGGTGATTCTTGAGTTTATGACTTTGACGAGCGCCCTCTAGACACGCCTCGGTTGATGGAGCGCCCGGGAACAGTATTCCGTGGGTCGCTGAAATCCCGCCTCGTCCAATTCTCTCTGAACAAGCTTTTAAGAAAAATGTGTTTCACAATTATACGTCATTTATTTGTATTTATTTGGGAGGTATTCGTCGCTTTCTAGAGAGAGCATCCGGGGTGTTACCAAATTGCCGGACGTTTCAACTTCTACATTCTTTTTTTTTTTTCTTCCAATAACATTATTTGCGACCCGACAAAAAAATCAGTCGCGCAAGATACACTGGTTCCCATTCCATATCAGAAATGAGAATCGACACTGGATCGGGAACCACCTCATGCTAAAATCGACCATTGGAGAGAAATTCTATTGAAATGCAATATTGAATTGCTTTCCGACACTTGAAATTCAGAATTCATTGGCGCCGTCTTTCAGAGATTACTGAGCCGAAGCATATAGCCTTGTATGTCATCAATAAAAAAAAAAACTTAAATGCGTATAAACGAGACTGGTTTGTTGACGTCTTCGTATCTCCGGGAAAACAATCTTTCTGGAAACAGTTACTCAGTGTTTCTATTTGACAAGGCAAAGACGTTCCCCGTTGCTAAGATCCAAAACACAAAATAAATCTGGCCGGACCAGAAATCAATAATAATGTCATACAGAAACTGTCCTCATGCCAAAAAAAAACCCTCCACCTTCCCTTAAAACTATTTCGCTTTTCTATTTTCGATACCATACGAAACGGCCACAAAGTGATTTGAAAAACCGCGAATACATTATGAATATCTGATTTGTCAACTTCATAAGTCAATGTTCTGTTCAAATTGTATCGTAATTCGCTATTTATTTCAATATCACACTTAGGGAGGAGGCAACCTCCCAACACCTTGCCGGTTTTATTTATTCATAACTTGATTGAACGAACTCTTCTGTACCAGACACGCCGTGTAACGAATCAATTAAACAAACCTGGCAGATTGCGGCAGGGAACAATGGTTGTCTCGCTGGTGTTTGGAGTTCACAGCTCGGCGTTGTTTGGCGTTAATATGATGTTTGTTGCTTGTTTAGTAGTTACCAAATTAACACGAATTGAATAACCAATGTGTAGGCCTAAACGTACCGTCGTTACACAAGAAGCCCTCAGTGGGGACTTCTATTGTAACCCCCCCCCCCCCCCCCCCCCGAGGCTCCATACATTGGCATTATATGTGTTCATCCTAAATTATCATTACATTAGTCGTTTCAAATTGCTTTCGCCGTGTCTTTTAACAAAGTCATTTCTTTCACTCCTATGACATGCAACTGTTCTAGGCCTATCTGTATAAATGTGTGACTTTTACGAAAGAAACAACTTGGCCTACTTTCTTATACTTTAGGCGTCTATACAACCCGGGTTTTTAATTGGCATTTGTTTCTCCGTAATGCACAAAAGATCCGCCTGAATCATTATCATGCAGGCCATTAATAATTCTATAAACTAATTATTCAATAACTACAATTCGGCTGACTTATGTTTTTTGTGTGTGTTTCTGTTTGTTTGTTTGATGCCTTATTTAAAACAACGGTTGCATTAGCTAATTAGTTGGGGGATAAAATCATGTTAGAAACAAATCCATCTCGGGATCATACTCGAAAATAGGACGGGCAGAGATCTTAAAGTTCACCAAAAAAACTCAACAGTAATTCTATAGTTTGGTTAACTGTAATAGAGCTTGGAGAATAAGGCAATTGAGATGTTCTTAGTTGGTCAAAGCATCGGTAACTCCCTTTTAAGAAAATCAATCTTCAATCTTTTTGCTTTATTGTGGAACGGTTTCTGGTAACATGTATATCCAGATGTAAAAGCACATAGCCAGTTCATCCCGGAAGACACTATGTGCTTAAAATTATGCATGTTAAAAAATCACCTTTAAATAAAATGACTTGTCTTAATTGAAAATATACTCTTACAGTGTTATTTCAAATTGTGTTATTCTGTGGCGGCCGGAATTCGGTCCATATTTTGGGGGTTCACGTTATGGCAGCAGATCGTTTGACTACGTGCACATCATTTCACTTCAAATAAGGGAAAGATTATCTCAGGGTTTTTTTTCGTGACCTTCTGCAATCCCACAAATCCTCTTGATCGGCTTTTTTTTCTGAAACCTCGCGTCGGCTTAGGCTTAAGCGATTTGAGGTTCGGCTAGCTACAGAGAGAGCCAGCCTATAGTGCTGTCGTTTAGGTTTAACCGCGTAACGCCTTATGTGTGACATTATATGTGACTGGTTCAAAGCGAACCGTTTATTCCTCAATTTATCTAAATGCAGTTGTATGATTTTCAGTAACCGAAAAAGGTATAGTAATTCATCGAACGTTAACATTGTATTAGATAACACATCTTTCAACAAAAGTTAACAAGTTTAAATATTTGAGTGTTTTTATTGATGATAAATTGACTTGGAAGTTCCACATCGATGAAATTGTGAGTAAAATCTCGACAAGTATTGGAGTGATCAGTAGACTTAAACATATTGTTCCTCTTGAAGTTCTCAAAACTCTGTACACTTCATTAGTACTTCGTTATTTTTCTTGTCTGGGGAAATACTTTTCGTACGAACCTAGATAAACTAATTGTTCTGAACAAAATTTCGTATTATAACAAATTCATCATTTAGGGCTCACAGTCAACTGATTTTACAAAACTTAAAGTACTTAAGTATTGTTAACCTTTAGTAACAGATACAACAAGCTTTATTTATGTACAAGTATTTAAATAATTTCCTGCCACACTCCCTATAGCCAAATATTTAAACGTAATTGCAATTTACATAATTATGATACTAGAGCATCTTTTAACTTATATACCCCAACATAGAACATCTGCCTTCCAAAACAATATTACATTCTCTGGATCTAAAATATGGAATACTTGACCGCTGTCTCTGAAAGGATGATCAAGTTCATTCACTACTTTTAAACGTTAACTAAAGTTATACCTTCTGTTAATATTATACCTTCTAATTAGTATATATTTTATCATATCCTGTTTAACTCATCTTCTGTAGATTCTCCATCCTTATAGCCCTAATTTCACATTGCATATTCCATTCCTGTATTTACAACTTGTACATACAAATAAGTTATGATTCTAAATGTTAACTTGTTTTTGTTTTTGTATTTTATTATGTGTTTTATTATGCATGGCATGCCTTTATACACAAGCTTTTGCTTTTTAATTTGTCTCCTCTTCTTGACGTGATTTTCTCATCTGTATTCTTTTATATCTTTTGTGATTTACCATGAAGAGGAAATAAACGTCACCACACAAAAAATGGACCAGCTTTATAGGGCTGTGAACATTTCGGTATTCAAAGAAATACTCCTTAATTAACCACTTTTCAAAATATTCTTTTAAAACAGCAAGGATGTAGGGTCTATTTGCTCTAGAAAAGAATGGACCTGTCATCTTATTTTTAAAAAAATTAAAATAGCTTCATTTTGCAAACATGAAGCTAAGGACTAACTTATGCCGTATTCGCTAGCCACAGTGACAACATTTCTGAGACGCTACTTGGAAAACCGGTCAATTATAGGGGCCCATACTATTTGAAATGGAATATTTAAGTTGGACGAGGCGAAACACTCAGGAAGTGGACAAAAAATGCGCCGAAATTTCCAATCACCTACATCTCATCGTGGCGTATTATAATTTAATATAATAGCCAGTCATTGTCGTCAAGCCCATATCCTTACCTAACCTCCCCTCTTTTTGTTGGACAATCGTCAAATAACTGTCACCCGACATGCCTAGCCCGCCCCAACAAGCCTACTCAACAAAAAGGTACATGATGGGCAGTTGCAGACCACAGACAGCTTCGGCGTCCTTGCTTATACTTTGCTGCCATGGATATGGTACACACATTGCGGTCATCACAATGCACTGATTTGGGTATGAACGGCAGAAATCCGGGAGGCCGGCTTTTCGCAATGCTATTATTAGCCCGTGTTTGCTCGGCTGTAGCTTGCCCCTAAGCCCGTGATAGCGCTGTAGGCTACGGTGTCATCTGAAATTTGGACTCCTTTGAAATCTGCTCTATTGTACCTTATATGGACCCAACCCTCGCACGTGACCAGTCGCTGTTATCAGTCTATTCACAAAGCATGCGCAATAGAACAAATGAGTCCGCATTTAGTAGCGTCCACATTAAACAGCACACCACCTGCTTGCGCGACTCACTTTCACTGCATCGGTATTATCCATTCCGGCCAGCGGAACTGTAGCACCACACGCCGAGGGGTTACCGCCAGCCCACCTGCGAGCTCGATTCTCGGATATGGTGAAAAGGGAATATTAATAACGAGATGTGCGGCTAACCCAAGATCAACTGATTGTAAGTCAGCATTTTTGTCATCTTACTTTTGGTGTTAATGGAGTGATGAAAATAAATGTGTAGGATAATTTGGTTTTAATTTCGCGCGTTTCAAGAATGCAGGGAAAAACCTTGGTATGGGTTAGATATTCGTCGTAGTGTGTCACGTAAGAGTGTGAAATAATTCAGAACAATATTATGTTCGACACATTTTGGAAAATTAGGAACAATCATGGTAATTATCTTGACAATCACATTCACCGATAATGACATTCAAATTTGAAAATGTTCGTAAAAGAATGGGAACACATTGAAAAGTGTATACCAATAAAATTATCGCTAGAATACATTACGGTACCAGAAAAAGTTGTGGCGCAATAAACGGCCGTTCCTCGAGAACCAAGCAGCTCTGAATGTATTTCACCTCTGATCTGTCACACCAATAAGTACAATTTCTTAGCTTTTCTTTTCTAGATAATTGAAGTTTGCGCTCTCATGCTGTCCATTGGCCTTATAACAGATTTCCAGTCTTACTGAAATACAGAGAAAGAAATTGAATTTATAAAATTAAGTGAAATTTGGGTTTTACCAAAGCAACAATCACAAACTCAAAACCCGTGTTTCATTGTCGAGGGTCTTTTTTCCTTCTTTTTCCCAAAGAGTATAGCTGATCAGGCGATGGCGTTTCTTGAGAATTCTCTTTTTTCGGGTTCGTTTACCTTTGGGTGAAGTAAGTTGCTTGGTCCAAGTGATATGTCATCAAATCATATAACAAACGAAACATTGAGTTTCCTTGAGGATTCTCTGCTTTTCCCTGTTGCCGTTACTCATAAAAATGGTCAATATAAAATTCTTCAAAAGGACAGAAGACAGAAAGCGCCCGTTTCTTCAGACATCTTCAACGATATTTGCACATTGCGTACCATGGCGCTTTCATCAGAAGCACGCCAACGTTGTCCACGCCAAAATTATCATAATCCCGTCTGGAATGCCTTAACTCTTTAAGGTACTTTTGCAACAAAAAGTACTTTGCTCTCGTGTCAATCTTTGAAGTTCCGATATGTTATTAACCTTTCAACGATCAGAAAACCAATATACCGGCTACAAATCGCAGGAAAATGTTGAGACAATAAAAAAAAAATATTTTCACGATTTATTTGTTGCGTGCAATATGGAAAACTTCTGTACTGGCGTTCATGTTGCTCTCACCGTGTTATATTTTAGTTTCATCGCGAAAATGTTAAAATTGTTCTTCTTTTTTCAACTACAAAGTTATTCACTTTTGAATGAGAACAAAAAATTTCCGCACAAGTTCAGCTTAATACGGAATAATTACAATTATTTAAGCGTATATTTTGTGTATTAAAAGCGCGAAAATAACCCAAAAGTTTGAAAATTTTGCCAGGGAAATAAAATGAAATTTGTTGAAAGAACGCGAGACAGCAACTTTTACTCACGATCTATATTTACCTAATATTTAATATCGCAACTCCACATTGCAACCAAACACTATAGGGCGTTCTTTCAATTGAAGATTTTCAAACTGTCAATAGATATTTTAAAGTAATTTGGGGGAAAAATGGCAGATCTAGCCTATAAAGTGGGTACTCTACATTATCCTGAAAGAGAGTGACGTTATAAATCTCCGTACACCAAATGTCCATACGACTGTTTCTCCCCTGTACGGTATATATTGCTCTTATTTTAATGCACAAATCAACACAATTCTTTGGCACTGAGACAAAACAGCTTGTGTTGCCCTTAATGGATCCATATAGCATTGAAATTATTGAACACGCAAACACACAGACTTAGTTTGTTTCTAAATCAGGCAAATAGGCCGGAGAGACTAATGTGTTTGTTCTGATCACACCGTAATTTGAAAATAATTCATTTCACGGTGAGTGGAAAGTAGAAATAAGTCATTATGATTGCTAATGAGCTTGCCAAAATAAGACGTGCTGGAATTCGCTTAATGTATTTTTGATGTGACGTCCTTCATCGTTTTGGATTTAAAAAAAAGGTAAGAAATTAAGCTTTATTAATTGTGTCATGTGGACTTGAATATTCATGATGAACATTGAATTGGTTTGATTTTGTTAAAGATGTCAGCCCCATGTTCTTCGAAAAGAAAATTCTCTTAAAGATTGTTTTATTTTGAATATTTTGTTTTAACGGGGAAAAATCTGTTCCGATTTTGTGCGTCTGCAACCATCTGAAAAAGCGCTAAACTGAACCCGCCTTATTGGAAACTTATTAAACTGTTGTAGGGCAGCAAACATTGTGAATTGTGTAAATTAAAATTTCAAGAACTTAACGTCTGTGAATTGTTTCGTTTACAAAAGTCAATAAATTTGATACTACCAGGAAAATAGCCCAACAAATATTTTAAGAAATCTAATATTCTGGTTGAAACTCGAAACATATCTTAAAATCAAAACAAAACGGTGATATAAAAATGGACGTAATGTCAAAAGATGTCATTTACGCACATTTTACTGAACATAAAATTTTGAGTCCAAGTTTAGGGACTTTTGGAAAAAGATTGATTCTTGCTGGAAATAAAATTAAAATAAAAATGGGCAACAGAGAAGCGAAAAGATGTCTCTGGAAATACAAGTTGCAGATTTCTATTTTGTGAACAAAGAAACTTATCCGAGACGAGATTCGAACCTGCAGCTAAGCGGTTATTTTTATTTCGTAAAAATGAAATGTTCAAATGGATAATTCGTTCGGAAAAATGGCTTTGTGGAAGACTACGGAGACAGATATAGCGATAATGCTGAGAACGATACACCTACATGCACTCTTGTCTATTTTTTTTTTTTTGTCTTAAACCGATCATAAGGTTGGCTTCACATAATATACCGTGAAGTCTGTGATTTCTGACACCGGAAAGGCGGAGATGGACAAGCCTGGCCGGGCCCGGATCGATCGGCCCGGTCGATCGGGCCAGGGCAGGCAAGGGCCACATACCATGCTTACCTTTACGTCTTCAAACAAACCCTGATTTAAGAATCGATATGTGGAGAGAGAAACCGCAACATTCGACGACGAAGTAGCCGATATGACACTGTTTTCATTGATCCATTATATAATTTTTTTATCATACGAGCGGATAATCAGTGGTGTGAATCGAGGCATGCGGAGGATCCTCCCGCCCTCCTCCCCTCCCCCCACCCGACTACCGGTCTGTGCCCTTCCCGTGTGCGCCTCTCTGAAAACGGAGAAGAAAGAGTTTTATATGTATTGATACCATTAGGCCTACTCAGCTTAACATGTGCCTCCACCTAGAAATGAAATGACCTCCTAAACGTCCATCTTCTTACAAATTGGACCGCAATATTCGCTTATTGTCGAAGATGGCACCGAACTGCCAATGTCATATTTAGACGGCTGCGCGGTATTGCATTACACTTGTCAACAAGGGCGGATCCAGGGGGGGGGGGGGGGGGGGCAAAGGGGGCCATGGCCCCCATCCCCCAAAAAAACGAATCCAATTTTTTGTTTAAGTGACTGCGCAATAAAGTCAGGCAATGGGTACACCACCATCTTTTTCTCAAAAACATTGGTTAAAGTGGTCAGAAATTGCCTCAGATCGCACCACAGAGCATTTAGAATCCAAAAAGAATCGGGGCCCTTAAGCGGGCCCCGAACCCCACGCCGTAATTTTTTTGGACACACTTTTTGAGGACCAAACATTTTTTGGGCCCCCCAAAATTGTGTTCTGGATCCGCCCTTGCTTGTCAATGTGACTCTGTACACTTTCCGAAAACCTTTCATTACTTTTTAATACGATTACGGTTATTTATTAGAGAAATACCATGCAGACCGGGGGTCACAGTGCTTGCTCTCGCTGGAAGAGACTGTTTTTTTGTCTTGCGCGAAAACAGAAATTACTTCAGCGATCCATCAAAATATACACATTTTCAAAGCCCACTTTGTCTCTTCCCGTATAGACCTTTCTCAAAGCCTTTTTGTCTGTTCATAATATTGCATGCCTTTCCTCAATTTTGTGTTGCACCACCAGACAATCGATGGCTGTCCATTGATTCACAGTTACACTTTCCCACCAGCGCGTCATAGCAACGTCGTTGGTAACAAACAACACTTGGTATCTGCTCATACCATGCAACGACCTCAATCAATACCCGTAACGACCACACGCAGTTTCAAAAGGAAGAATAGCAAGTCCAAGGCACTCGGCCGTGACTTTTCACCAAATAAATATCAGAAAACCGTCCCATTTTCGGCCCAGGAACCAAGCACTGATTTCAAGCATGACTAATAAAACCTAAAGTTTATTATATGGAGATTATTCTCTTGGCTACAAAACTCTTCCAGTCCACTCGTTGTGAACTGAATTTACATCAGAAAGCCGTCTCCTTTTGCCCTTAGGCACATCTTTGCGATGAATATTGGCCGATTTTCAACTTCCACAAAATCGTGTGAAACGTTTTCAACCGCAACAGTAGCAACAACGTGCTGATTTTGCTTCCTTTAATATCATCTGTTGAAACTATCCGTTTAGATAAAGGCTAGTATTTTGTCTGTGGACGCTATACGTTTCTTCCCTAAACCGTTGTAAAGCGGGCGAGGCGAAGCCTCCTTGTCTATATTTGAAAGATACGTGTCTCGTGCTCTTCAAATAAATAAATTTCACCCTAACAAATTTGCAATTTTCAAAAAGCAAAATTCGATTTTGGGCGTCTGCAACCCTCTGGAAAAAAAAGGCTGTCATTTTGCACACAAAATGAACCCGTCATGCGAGAGCCAAAATATTGTTTGGCAGTTCGAACTTTTGCTAAGAAACAATTCAATAGCTAAACGTAGGTGCATGGATTTTTTGGTTCGATGTCTCATTCAAAAGTGAATAACTAATATATTGCTGGGCAAATATCAATTGAAACAAACAAATCGATTTTTTTTCGAGGTGAAACTCGAAATAGCACGGGTTATGTATCATTTAAGAAAAAATATGTAAGTCTTAACCGTGCGTTTACCTTTTAATATTTTATCGG